CAAGTAGAGTATGGCTGGAAGTCTCTAAGACATCATCCTGTAAGTTGGTGCAATCACCTGTTACCTGTTCTTTGGTTACTAGGTATAAATTTCCTCTCCCTTCCAGCTCTCCAAATACGTTTTAGGTAATTGAAGTCATTTTATTTATGAACTCTGTACACAAAGGGAAATATTGTCCAATATGGCCATGGAAGCATTACAAAGCAAAATGTTAAATTCTTACAGTACACATTGCTAATTTCTGTTAAACATCTTTCTTGCTCCCACTTCTTTTATTTGATAAACATTTTTTTCTATACAATTCTGGAACACAGATGTTCTTGTCTCCATTTTGTAGATGAGGAAACCAAGACTCGGATTCAAAAGTTTACACATCTGGTCAAAGGTATTCAGTGAAAACTTCACTTCAAGACAACATGTATGTATAGAATATGGCCAGCTTGACCAAAGACTGATAAGCAGTACAGATTTCCATTAACCAAGTCAAGTGCGTTGTGAACGCTTTCCCACTGCATAAAAACATGATCCAAATAACAATGCCTAGAGTACTCACAGTACGGAGAGAGGTAGGCAAAACTGTATTACAATTACTGGTCTGAGTATGTTGAACCTTCCTTGCATTCCTGGGATAAATCCCAATTAATCATTGTTTATGATCTTTTTGATGTGCTTTAACATTAGAATTGGAAGTGTTTTATTGGTAATTTTCACAGCTATGCCCATCAGGGATATTGGTCTATACTTTTCTATTTTTATCATACCTATGTCATGTTTGGGTATCAGGGTAATGCTGACCTTGTAAAATGAGTTTTGAAGAGTTTCCTCTATTTCAATTTTGGTAGAACAATTTAAGAAGAATTTATTTTAGTTCTTCTTTAAAACTTTTAGTTCTTCTTTAAAACTACCTCAGTGATACCATGAACAAAGCCCTGGGTTCCATCCTTAGCACAAAAAAAAATAAACATTATTGAACTGGTACAGCAAAGTAATTTGCTCTTGTGTTTTTCTTTGCTGGAGACTTTATTGTGGATTGAATTGTGTTACTTTCATTCAATTCAGGTTTCCTATATTTTCTCAGTTCAGTTTGGGTTGGCTATAGGTGTTCAAAAATTTATCTGCGTCTTCTAGTTTTCCCAATTTGTTGGTGTACGGTTGTTCAAAATAGTCCCTAATAATCCTTTGTATTTCTGTGGTATAAGTTGTAATGTCTCCTTTTTCATCTTTAATTTTGTTTAGTTAGGTATTGTCTCCTTTTTAATTGGTAAGTCTAGGTAAAGGTTTATCAATTTTATCTTTTCAAAAAAAATCTCTGTTTAGTTTCTCTTTTGTATTTTTAATTCTTCAAGTCATTTATTACTGTTCTAACATGTGCTATTTTTTTCCTTCCACCATTTTAAAAAATTTGTATTGTTCTTGCTTTTCTAGTTCCGTGAGATGCACCAGTAGGTTGTTTATTTGAAATATTTGTATTTCCTTGATGTAGATATTTATTGCTATAAACATCCCTCTCAGTATTGCTTTTGCTATTTTCCATAAATTTTGGTATGTGGGTTTCCTGTTTTCACTTGTTTCAAGAAATTTTTAATTTCTATTTTGATTTATTTGATGACCTATTGTTCATTCAATAGCACATTATCTAATTTCAATGAATTTGTACAGTTTCTAAAGTTCCTCATGTTGTTGTTTTCTAGTTTTATCTCATCGTGATCAGAAATGACATGTAATATGGTTTTGTATTCTATTTGTTGAGATATATGTTGTGGGCTAATATATGGCCTATCCTGAGGAATGTTCCACATGCTGATGACAAGAAAGTAATTTATGCAGCTGTTAAATAATATGTTCTACAAATGTAAAGTCCATTTGATATATGCTATGGTTTAATTCCAGTATTTCTTTGTTGATTTTTTTTTTCTGGTTGGTATTTCCAATAGGAAAGTGAGGTGTTGAAAAACAACTGTTATTGCATTGGGGCCTATCTCTCCCTTTATATCTAATAATGTGTGCTTTATAAAACTTTGTGCTCCAGCATTAGATCCATATATATTTACAAGTGTTATATCTTCTTGTTGAATTGATCCCTTGATCATTATAGAGTCACCTTTTTTTTCTCTCTTCATAACTTTTGACTTAAAGTCTACTTTATCTTATATAAGTATAGCTATTCCTGATCATTTTTGGTTTCCATTTGTGTAGAATATATTTTTCCATCCCTTTATTTTCACATGTGTGTGTCTTCACAGTGAAGTTTGTTCCTCATATGCAGCTTATTGTTGGGTCTTGCTTTTTAGTGATTCAGCCAGTCTGTATCATTTAATTGAGGAATTTAATGCTTTTATGTGCAAGTTATTATTGATATGTAAAAATTTATTCCTGATATTTTGTTAATTTTCTTCTGGAATTTGAACATTCTTTGTTCTATTCTTCTGTTACTATTTATCTTCATGGTTTTCTTTTTTTATTATTTTGAGTATATGCTATTCTGGTGGGTTTTATATTTTTATATGTTTTCATAGTGGTAGTTATTTTTCTTTTGCTTCTAGGTATAGACTCCTTTAAACCTTATTGTAAGGCTGATCTGGTGGTGATAAAGTCCCACAGGTTTTGCTTATCTCAGAAATCCTTTATTTCTTCTTTGTTTCTGAAGGATAGCTTTGCAGGGTATTGTATTCTTGGTTGGCAGTTATTTTCCTTCAGAACTCATTCCCTTCTGCTCTGTAAGAAAGGTATTTACTCTAAGATCTAGACAAAGACAAGGCTATCCACTTTCACCACTCTTATTCAACATAGTTCTGGAAGTGCTAGCCAGAGTAAGAGGCAAGAAAAAAAATATTAAAGGCATACAAATAAAAAGAAAAGAAGTCAAATTGTCTTTGTCCACAAGGAAAAAAAAATGAAAGACTGTACCAAAAAACATTTAGAACTATTAGTAGAGTTGCAGGATACAAAATCAACATACAAAAATCAGTAGCATTTAATACAACAACGAACTTTCTGAGAAAGAAATCAAGAAAATATTCCCATTTATTCAAAACATAAAAACCAAAAATATTTAGTGATAACTTTGGCAAAGGAAGAGAATAACCTCTATAATGGAAATGATAAACACTGATAAAAGAAATTGAAGAAGACACACACACAAAAAGATTGGAAAGACCTCTCATGTTCATGGATAGAAAGAATTAATATTGTTAAAATAACTATATTACCAAAAGCAATTTACACATTCAATGCAATCCCAATCAAAATACCAAAGGCATTCTTCACAGAAATGGGGAAAGGAGGAATCCTAAAGTTCATATGAAAGCACAAAAGACCCTGAATACCCAAAGCAATCTTGAACAAAAGGAAGAAGTCTGAACACATAACAATATTCATCTCAAGACATAATATGGGGCTGGGGAAACCAATTCTGGATGATATCAACATAAAAATTTACAAATGGACCACTGAAGCAGAATGAAGATCTCAGAAATAAATCCACACATTTAAAATCAACTGATTCCACCAATAATGCCCATTGGAAAAAGTACACCCTCTTCAACAAATGTATTGGATATCCAATGCAGAAGGACGAAATTTGACCCTTCTCTCTCACAATCAACAAAAATCAATTTAGATCAAAGACCTAAATCTAAGACCTGAAACTACAAATCTACTAGAAGAAAATGCAGACATTGGTATAGACAATGATTTTTTTATAAGACCCTAAAATCGTAGACAAGAAAAGAAAAAAAAATAGACAAATGGGATTACCAAACCAAGAAGCTTCTGCACAGCAAAGGAAATAATGGAGTGGAGAGATGCCATATCATCTCAGTCTGAATGATTATAATCAAAAGTGAAAGAAAGAAAGAAAGAAAGAAAGAAAGAAAGAAAGAAAGAAAGAGAAAGATCGAATGAACGGCCAAATGCAGGCAAGGATGCAGAGAAAAGGGAACTCTTATACATCCTTTGGGGGACATGTAAATGGAGACACTATAGAGGCTCCTTAAAACCTAGAAATACAATGACAGTACGATCTAGCTGTCCCACTTCTGGATATGTAGCCAAAGAGAATGAAATCAAATCAGCATATCAGAGAGATCCCCTGGCCCCAATTTTCATTGTAACAAAAAAAGTGTACATCAATGGATGAGTGGATAAGAAAAATGTGGTATATGTTCATCGTGGAATATGATTTGGCCATAAAATGAATGAAATCTTGTCATTTGCAGCAAAATGGCTAGAAGTGAACATTTTGTTAGGTGAACTGAGCCAGCCATGGAAAGCTAATACTGTATGTTCCCTCTCAAACCTCAACACTAAGAAAAAAAAGTCTATCTCAAAGTAGGAAATAGTAGAAGAGTAATTAAGAAGGGGAGGGGAAAGACGACAGAGGGAGGTTGGACACGGGGGGGGGGGGGTACCAAATACAGGACAATATGATTTCTAGAGTTCTACAGCCCAGTAGGGTGACTATAGTTGACAAAAAGCTTTTATACATTTTATGAAAAACTAGAAGAGAGGAGTTTGAAGCCATTGAACATAAAGAAATGATGAGGAGATGCAAATGTGAATTGCCCTGGTTTGATCAATACATATTGTATTCATGTTTCAAAATATGAGACAGTACTCCAGAAATATTATAAATATGTACAATTATTACGTGTTAATTAAACGGAAAACAAAACAAAACAAAACTGAAAACACCCTGAGCTGACTCAGGCTACACAACCATTAAGAGGCAAAGTAGCCAGCTAAGTTTCAAAGTGGGTCTGCCCTATTTGGTCGCCATCCCAGACAGTGCCCAACCAGACCACCCCAGCTTCACCCCTGGGAAGTTTTCCGTGCACCCAGGGGACATTCTCAACCACAACCTCTGTATCTGGCAGATGCAGATGGAAACAGAATAACAGAAAAATGTGAGACTTGCGCTGGACAGCTGGAGCGCAGAAGAGTTCTGAAGTGGGCGGGTGTTGTGGTTTAAAAAAAAATAAAGGGTGGAAACCCCACCAGCCAAGTTGAAAAAAATAACTGAAGTGTGCATATCTCCTCCGGGCCGGAGCCCCTCCCCTCGGCTGGGCTGCGCTGGAGGAGGGTGACCCAGGTGCCGCTTCCTCCCTCCGATCAGGGTCAGGAGCCCAAGAGCGCGACCCTCACCGCTGCCGCATTTTGTCCCCTAGGCCTCTCGGCTTCAGCCGGGGCCACCGCCCAAGACCCATCGGAGATGAGCAACCTCAATGGCACGTCGCTGCCCCCTTACCACCGTGAGTACCCGCCCGGGGAAGGGCTCCTTGGCCCTCCGCACGCCGCGGCCGGACAGGAGCGCACGGGACGGGCCGCGGTCGCCGCCGACACCCGCGGGTCCTGCCGTGCAGCCTCCTAAGCTGTCGTTGGCCCCAGAACCCCTGGGCCTCTGGCCGGGATGGGTCCCCGTCCCGCGCCCCCCCGATCCCACGCGCGGGCTCTGTGCTCCCGGAGCGTGGAGAGGCCGCCAGCTGCGGGCGCGTCCGCTCGCTTTCTGTTTCTTTGTGTGGGGCGAGGGAAGTGTCTGGGGCCAGAACTTGTCCCGTTAGGAGAATGGAGAAAGCGCCTGCTAGTAAGGAGCCGTGGAGCGCGAAGCAGCCCTGAGTCAACCAGACTCCAAGTTGCTTTCTGGGCCGTTGCTGCTCCGGGGAACAGGGGGCAGGACTTAAGCAAACTGCAGCTAACTCCAGCCCTTCGGCGGGACTTGCTTGCTCCCTCCACGGTGCCTAGAGAAACCAGATGTTGGAGGGATCCCCTGGTCTTCACTCTTTGGGGGTTCGTATATAGCACACATTGTCTTCCTAACAGGAAATCGTACATGGTGAGGTTTTTTTGTTTGTTTGTTTTGTTTTTTTGGATTCTCAGAAACTTTGCTGGGCCTCTCCTTGCCCTGGTCCTCTGCCTTGGAGCTTTTGAGACAAAAACTGTTTTGTTTTGTTTTTTCCTTCTTTTTCGTCTTTTTTTTTTTTTTAATGTTTATCCTTTTATCTCCATCCTGGCCAAATATTAAGAGTTCGTCAGAGGAGATAGTTTGAATCTATAATGTGATCAAGTTAGATTTTTAATATGATAATGATGTGAGTATTGGAGACAAGCACTCTAGTTAAAGTCTTTGAAATGCAGTTGTTAGTGAGACCTTGCCCAGACCAAGCCAGGGCATGGATGAGAAAGCTTAGATCTGCAGGTATGTGTTTCCATGCCTGTAAGTGCCCAGGATCGTGCTTATTATGCCCTGTAGCATGCTTCGGTCAGTTCAGGTAGCAGACACTATTCCTACAAGGAAACCTGGGCTTCTGGGCTTTGCTGTCAGTATCAGAATAAGCTATGCCACTTATTAAAAAGTAAACCTCTCTTGGCTCCAGTTTTATCTTCTGTAAAATAGGAAATAATAATAGGATATTCTTAGTTGGGTTTTTAAGAATTAAGTGCATATAAACGGCACAGACCAACACATACCAAGTGTTCGATGAATGTCTTTATATTAACTTTATATTAACTTTACATAAAACTACAGTCCATGAATTCGTGTATAATAGTGTGTTTACATACGTACATGCTCCAGGGCCTAGATTAAGGGAAAAGAAGACAGAAACCACAGTAATGTTTCGGTTCAGGCACTGCCAAAGTTCAGGCTGCAGCCATTCCCACCCCTAAAGAGGATGGCCCACCCCTGCCCCGCCCTCCAGTTAGTTCTCCAGGATTCCAGTTTCAGATCTTGACCAATGACTGCAAACACCTCCCTTCTGGGATTGATAGAGATGCAGCCCTTACTTGCATACCATTCCAGATTTCCCTCTGAAGTTGATTTATGGCAGGATCCCTGCTGTGGGAGAACCCTGGGGCCCTATTTCTTGCTGCTAACTCAGACAGGATGTGTCTATATCCTGTGTCAGTTTACATAGCTGTAACTGCTCCTCAGAACCAGAGGTTAGAATGGAGAGGACCCACTTCTGTCAGCCGGGCTTGCCTTGCCCAGCTGGGCTTAGCCTGCTTTCCTAGGCCTGAATGTCACTGCGAGTGAGTCATGCACAGCAGTCCTTTTGCCTTGCCCTTGGCTGGAAGGGGTCAGCGCTCAGTGAGGAGACAGCCAGGTTTGGCAGCTTTATATAGAATCCGCTGCCTCTGGCAGAAGCGGTGAGGACTGTATTAAGTGCCAAATGAAATTCCATCACAGTCATTGCTCAATCCCTCCAGATATTGGTGGTGCTGGGAGTCACATGGGGCTGGCACCATCAGCCACTGGATCTTTCCCAGGGTGCCTTTGGCTAAGCAAGTATTTCTGGGGACTTGCAAAGCACTCTGGGAAGCAGAAGGATGTGGGGTAAAAGGCATTCTGTTATTTGTTGTGGAAGCGGATTAGTGAGAGGTTGGACAAGCCAAGTTGGTTTGACTCTTTGAATGATATATCTATATATATCTATCTATGTAAGTGTGGGAATGGCACATATATATACATATATATACATATGTAATATGTATATTATACATATATGTATACACATATATATCAGAAAAAAGTACATATATATATATATATATATATATATACTTTTTTTTCTGAAACCTTAACCCTAACACCTTCCAGTGACTGAGCCAACACAATGTCCCCACAAGCACAAGTTAAAATCCAAACCAAACAAATTGGAATGAGATCAATAAAGAGTTAATAACAGGGAAGACAAAAACAATTTCTTCCTGCCCCAAGGCAATGACTTCATTGATTGTTGAGAATTCTTCTGGAAGCATTATATGCTTGTGCAATTTCTTCTTATTTTACACAATGGAACCCATTTTATATATTCTACTTCATCTTGCATTTTTCTGTAAGAATGTCTTAAAGATTGTACCTTACCACCATGTATAGACTAATTTGGGGGGGTGGGACTGCAGAGTTATGAATCTATGAAAAATTTGTTTTTACTTATTTATTTAACCAATTTGTCTGCTAATTGCCATTTAGGGTATGTACAGACTTTATTTAATTTTTGTTCAACCAGATGCAGTGCTGCCATGGCAACCCTCTTAAGCTGAGTTTTGTTTGCATGTGACTGTGGACTTTTAGGAAAAGTCCTCCCATCCCCAAATTTAATTTATAGAACAACAACAAAAAAAAAATTGTGTGTTTAAAATGTTAGTAGATACTCAGAAACCCCTCCTAAAGGTCATACCATTTTCTAATGTACACGGATAACTTATGAGTAAAGCTTCTTCGCCACATTCTTATTTACATGTGCAGCTTTCATCTTCACTAGGTTGATGGGTAGAAAATGTTGTCATTTGGAGTGTGCCTCTTTAATTATAAGTGAGGACAAGAGTGTTTTCTTGTCTCCGTAAGACCTTGTTTCACTTTGGGGGAAGTACCTAGCAGAGCCCCACCTGCTTGTGTAGTCAGGCCTGGGCGTTTACTGACTGTAGGTGAAATACAAAATATCAGAGCCTCAGTTTTCTCATCTGTTGGTGGAAATAATAGGAGCAACTTCACAGGACTCATGTGATAGACAAGAGTATAAACGCCTGGCATTGTTCCCAGCAATAGTATAGAGGTGGTAGTTGCTAACAAAATTTATCAAAGTAAACCTGGCCTGTGGATGCCGGTAATTTCAGGATTCTCCTTTGCAGGTGGCTGGCTGTTGCTCTTACTTTTGATAAGATAGCAACATTAATGCTTCTAGGCCGGGTCCTGCTAAGGTAATTGCCTGGGTTACCTTTCCATGCCTGGAGTGATGAATATTTTCTTACCGGTTTGACAAGGGGAACACTTGAGGCTCAGGGGACATTGACTGCCATGAGGCTCTCAGGTACTAGGAGGCTGCAGACAAAGGCTGCCAGATCCCACAACCAGCTAAGGCCCACCCGGGGAAGGGGATTAGGGCATATGGAGGTCTGTAGCTGGCATGCATACTGCCCACTATGGAGGCTCTGGAAGATCACCTCTGAGCAGGTCACACACAGAGACTGCATGTGGCATTGGCACTGGGAATCTGCCAGCCACTCCCCGTTCCCAACCCCGCTCCCCACTCCTCAGCCAGGCCCATAGTCCAACTCCAACCCATAACTGCCCATTATCACTCCCTTTCCTGTGGTCAGGCCCGCCCTGCCTTGGGCGTTCCCTGATGGCTGGCCCCTGATGCACCCACCCCATGCCTGTCTGCCTCTCCTGCTTCACCTTTCACAAATGCCTGCATCGGGCCCTCAGGTTTTCTGGATAAATGCCCTCCACCCCACTTCACACATACTCATTTGTCTCTCAAGGCCCATATTATGTATTCCCATCTCATAGAAATTTTTTCCCAACCCAAAAACCAACTACTACAGGCCTGGAGACATTTTGCAGCCCTGACAGTTTCCTGTGCATGTCCCTTTCCCAGAATTCTGACCTCTTAAAGGACTCCATAATCCTGCACCCACCCCCCCAGCCACACACACACACACATACACTAGGGACCTGACACACAGAGGTATTGGACAAGCCACTTGGGTACAAACAAATGATTGCACAGATGACCCTAAGGCCAACACTCTCAGGGCCAGTGCCATTCCAAAGCCAAAAGCCCATTCCAAAGGCCAGAAGTACCTTTTAAAAATCATACATTCAGTTACTCCTAAGTCAGAACTTGGCATGTACCGGGAGGCCAGTAAATACTCAATTGAAGCAGAAATTCAAACCTAAACACATCCTAAGACCACAGCAAGGCGGACCCAGAAATCCCCTTCCACTGAGTCATGTTTCTTGTCCAATCCCCTTCTCTTCACCCACCCTTAATCTCCCCTACCTCCCACTCATTCTGGCCCAGAAGTTTCTTTAGATCATTATACAATCTAACCTTTTGAGGAAATGCTGGCCTCTACTCTTAGTTATTATAAATTTTAATTTTTGTACATTCTTCCCAAACAATGTTGCTGTACAGAGTCTTAGCCCATGGCAAAAACTGACAAGGTCCCCTGTCTCTGGTGCTTTGCAGAGCCCAGCCCACTGGCTCTGGATTCCATCTTGGGCAAGGCGAGGGTTGGACAGGGCTCTTGGAGGACTCCTCTGCACACTCTCTGGGCTTCTGGCAAGCCTGTGCACACTGGAATTTCACAGGGAAACTCCTGTCTGTGCTCAGAGAAGGCTGTCTGCTGCTGAGCGAGCCCCAGGCTCTGAGAACCCTGTTCTTTTTCCTGCCCTATCATCTCCACACCCTCCTCTTCATCATCTCCCATTCATGACCCTTTGTTATAGTTCTCGTTTCTGCTTAGC